ACGGTGCTGGTGATCAGACCAGGGGTTCCTGCGTGCAACGCACAAGTTCAACCCTTCAGATGACTCCCTGAGTTGGCCTTCTGGTTCAACTGTGTTTTCGATGGTTGATTATCCCCTGGATGGCTGCACCATGTCACATTTCTCGTCAGCGGGTAGATTTTGGGCACGTTCCCCCTTTGGTGATTGAACATGGCTGCTCTGAGTATTCACATGTAGGTATTGGAGCACCTACTTGCTTTTGTTTTCTCTGTGGTGCCAGAGATTTAGCCCTCACGTGAGGCTCTACTATTGAACCACATTCCGGATTCCATGTTTCCCGGCCTGCTCGCCCAGCTGTAGAGTTGTGTCGCGTGGTGGCGGTTCTGTGTTTAACTTTCAGAGGAGCCACTCACTGCACACTGCCATGGGCCACTCTGCACTCACATTGGCGGTGCAAGGATTGCTGTTTAACTGCGTCCTCAGCAGATGTATTTCTCTGTACTAAGCTCATCCTGACAGGTGTAAGACAGCTTCTCACAGTGGTTTTGACAGGCATTTCTCTGGTGTCCATGACGAGGAGCATTTTTGTGAGCTGACTGGCCGTTTGTATATCACAGCTATGTCTAATTCAGGACTTCGCTCATTTTTTCAGTTGTGTTGTCTTTTTGTTGTTGAAATGTAGGAGCTCTTTGTAGAGTCCGCCTACTAGACACATTGGTGGGCTTTATTTACTTTCTTGGTTTCTGGGCCACACCTGGCAATATTCAAGGTTTATTCCTGGTTTTGTGCTCAGGGATCACTCCTGGCGGGGCCAGGGGACCACATGGGATGCTGGGAATCAACTAACACAGGTCAGCTGCATGCAAGGCAAGTGCCCTACCTGCTGTACTACCTCTCCAGCCCCACATTGGCAGATTTTAATTTTCCCACTGGTCTGTGCAAGCGGAGACAGAGTATGTAGACATGTTGGTGCTGAGGACAAACCTGGCTCGGGCCTGATTTGACCTTGCTGGGCCCCCCTGGGCCAGGCCTTCACCTCCAAGCCTGTGCGCCCTCTCTGATGGCCTTTTGCTTCTCTGTCAGTGCTCTTAAGTGGAGGTTTAGCACTGCACTAGGCACAACAGAAGTGAGAACTTCAAACCTCTAAGGGAATCCCCAGATTCTTGTGTTGAATGCCACCTGCATTGTGTGCAGCGCAGGACTGGGGCAATAACACTCTCACAAAGCCTAGTCCGCAGCAGGGCACTCAGCCCAGTAGTGACACACGTCCGCAGTCTCTCAGTTCTTGCCCTTGTGACAACAGAAACAGGAACTGGTGGCAAATGCCTTCCCCAAACAGGGAGCTCTGCAGTCACGTCCGCACCTCAGTGCTTGGATTCCACTCTGTTCCCACATGCCTGCTGTCCCCACACGCCCTGCCACCCAGCGGCGAAGGGCTCTCCCTGGTCTTCGAGTCGTTTAAAGCTAAAAATAGGGCAGCTGGCAGCTGACCACTGCCCCGGCACCAGGCTTGTGCGCAGCAGCAGCAGGACCCTGGGCACAGTCGTGCCTAGTCAGGGCAAGTCCCCAGCTTTGGTTGCAGCCCAGAGACTGTCCTCCAGGCTGTCCCTGTAAGCTGTCCCCTGGCCCTGCCGCAGGTCACTGGAGTTGGTGCAGGGAGTGGAGTCAGGATCCTGGGAAAGTTGATTGTGAGATAACAAGCAAATGAACTTGGGACTCAGACAGTCCTGCCAGGCCCCATCTCTGCTCTCAGGAAGGCTCACTTCTGGCTCTGCACGGGGCTCACTCCCAGCGGGGTTCAGGGAAACTATGCGGTGCTGGAGGAGAGGTAGTATAGCAGGTAAGATGTAAGCCCTGAGCACCACTAGATGTGATCTCCAAACTCCTCAAATAAATATCTTTTTTAAATCACCATGGAATGTGGTTAACCCAGGTTCAATTCCTGCTTTCCCATATGGTCCCCAAAGGCCTGCTAGGAGTAACCCCTGAGCATTGCCAGTAAAGGTAAGGTAAAGGCCCTCCCGTTGATCATCGATTTGCTCGAGCGGGCCCAGTAACGTCTCCATTGGAGACTTTGTTGTTACTGTGTCTGGCATATTGAATACTCTCGGTAGCTTACCGGGCTCTCCGAGAGGGGCAGAGGAATCGAACTCGGGTCGGCCATGTTGGCCGCTTGTAAGGCAAACGCCCTACCCGCTGTGCTATCGCTCCAGCCCTATGACCCCAAAATGAAAAAACTAAATAAACTTAAAAAAATAATAAATAAAACTGGAAATGTCCAAATATGTGATAGACCAGCTGACAATTCTAACTGGAAATAAAAAGGCAGAGATGGGGCAGTGCTGAGCCTCAGACTGTGGGGTGAGCAGTTCAGGCCCGTGGACATGAGTTGCAGGCAGCCCTTGGGAGCTCTCCAGCAGGCAGTCAGGGGACAGGGTCCGCATGAGGCTCAGAGGCCAGAAGTGCTCCTGGGTGCCTGTACGTGAGATCAGGGACCGTTTTCCAGCAGGGTTCCAGCCTCAAATCAGAACACTGACACTGAACCTCTGTTTCTTGTCTAAGGCCACTTGTGGGAAGCCATGGGCCTGGGTGTGGGTATATGAGTACATGAAACATATTTTCCACTGCTGAGTTCTATTGTGGAGTGTACACGCAGTACCTGGCAGCGAGGGCTGCTGGATGGATGGCTGCACTCACAGGCCGGCCACGGCACCTTCATACAGCCCCACCAGCCATGGTTCCATGCTGGAGCTGGGTGTCAGGCCACTGCCAGGCCTCTAAAGTGTGGTTTTGTGAGGCTGGAGAGAGTACAGTGGGTAGGGCATTTGCCTTGCATGCAGCCAGCCTGGGTTCGATCCCTAGTATCCCATATGGCCTTGAGCCCTTGCAGGAATGATCACCGAGCACAGAGCCAGGAGGAAGCCCTGAGCACAGCTGGGTGTGGTTCTTCACCCCCAAAATACATCTACATAGAGTGGTTTGATAAGAGCTTTGGGACCTGAACACTTGAACGCTTCCCACAAATTTCCTAATGGGAGTTTGTGTACACTTTCTTCAGGACCAGGCCTCACATAGGAATGTGTGTGTGGGAGCATGCACTTTTATTTAAAATAGCAAGGAGACAACCAGGCGGCCAACTGGAGGGATAATTGATTAGACTTGATAACTCTTGATAAGACTGGCCCAAGAGATAGTACAGTGGGGAGGTGGCAAGCGCCTTGCAGGCACTGATTGGGGTTCGGTCTCTGGCATCCCATATAGTCCCTGAAGCCCCACCAGGAGTGATCCCTGAGCAGAGCAGAGCCCTGGGCATTGCTGGCCGTGGCGCCCAGGAAACAGCAGCAAAAGGACTTCCACAGCTGAGTATTTACCCAAAAGGAAATTTTCTAAGTGTTAAGATCCATTTATGAAAGTGAAGCTTGTCCCTGCCACCCAGCAATCCTGGCCAATAGGACTGTTCGGTTCTGCTAGTCCCAGACCTTGTGGCGCTGCCAGGGACTCCAGTGCTGGGGACCACATGACTCACGCCCTGTGTTCAGGGGCATTCAGGGCTTCAGCCAGCTGTACCTGAGTCCAACGCTGTTCTGTGAGGATAGAGGATCTCTGGGTGGTCACTTAGCAATATTGTTTGCCATTTTGCAATATTCTTCGATGGGCACTAAGCCAGCATTCTTTTAGCTGTCAGCCCACTTTCCACATGAACAGGGGGGTGAGGGCAGAGGGTGCCAAAAAATAAAAATGGAGTGAGTGTGGTCATAGTCCTCAGGTAGCACTTCAGCCCAAGCTGAGGGGCAGTCCCGGCCCCTCGCTGGACCTGCAGAAGGCCAGTTACTTTGTTTTGCATATCAGCCATGGCAAAGGAATCTGCATGCCAGTTTCAAAAATAGCTCTGGGTCACTTGATAAAGCAAAACCCAGGCTACGGATGGGGTTAAGCATGACTTGAGAGTCTGGACTAAACCACACCTGGAATCAACTTGCACCCAGGGGAGAATCAGCGGCAACTTCCTATGCTGTGGGCACAGCCCTGCACGAGCAGAGCCCACAGGCTCCCGGTGGAAATGAACTGACTCCCACATTCTGATTGGATGGGTGGGTGATCGAGCACACCTCTTTTTTTTTGGCCACAGTCAGCTGTTTTCAGGGCTAGTTCTTGGCTCTGCTCTCTAGGATTACTCCTGGCAGTACTCGGGGGACCCCATGTGGGACGGGTCAGTTGCATGCAGGATGAGTGCTCTACCTACCAGCTATATTATCTCTTGGGTCTTTCTCTTTCCCTTATAATGCATCTAGTCTTCCTGCCATGTCCCGGAGCCCAGCCCTTTGCAAGCGGGTTCAGCTGAGCACGCTGCCGCTCACAGCTTGCCTGGCAGCAAAGCCCCTCATTCTGGGGCTTAGGGGTCTGTTCTGTTCCAGCCCCAGGAGAGCTGTGCCCCTTGGTTATCCCCATAGTGGTCTCTGAGCTCAGCTTTCCCAATCTGTTTTGTAGGTGAGAATGCCAGGGCAGACCTCTGCTTCCAGCTTGTCCCCTGCCACCTTGGCTACCACTGGAACATTCAGAGGTAACCCTGGGCCATCTTGTCCTGCATCCCCAGCTGGGAGGGGTGTGGGGCCCCTCAGGGAGCAGTAACAGTGACCTCACCTGTTATTTGTAGTAGCAGAGATTTAAGCCTCTGCCATGACTGTCTGTGCTGAGGGGCTGGGAGCTGCCCCCATCTTGCAGACCGAGGCGGGAAGGAGAAATCACATTTCTTCCAAACTCACAAAGTTGTGCCGCCCCCCCACCCCCCTCCGGGTGCTGGGGAAATACCATACCCGAGCTAACTGGCATTCACTCCTACACCAGCCAGCCCACAGGGAAGCCTGTCACATGTCACCTCCACCGACTCCAGCACAGCCACAGGCAGGCTCCCCGAGCATTCCAAACAGCTGCCTCAGAAGCGAGCACTTATCTCGCATGCTTGAATTTTTCCTTTATTCTTGCTCACATTCTTTGGGGCATAGCTTTGCTTCAGCAGGACGGGCACCTGGGGGGGGGGGGGGGGGGAAGAGCGGGATCGCCCCAGTCCCGCAGACTTCGGTGAGAGCTGGTGCTGGCACTGTGGTGGTGGCGCCTGCGTCCCCGGCTTCTGTGAGCATGGCCCTCTGCTCTGCCCTGGCCAGCAGCAGGCCAGGGTCACCCTCAGATCTGGGCAATGAACTCTCCCAGGAAATGCTGCTGATCAGAGCAAACTTGCCCCGGAGGAGGGAGAAAAGCTTTCTGCTGAGGTAGAGGGTGGGAAGCGTGTCAGGAAAAGACCTGTCAGGCGCGGGGAGTGAGCTTGGCAAGCCAGCAGATCCCCAGACACCAAACCCACAGCCCAAGTGGGCCAAACGCTACATGGTATGGGTGCCAGGCGACCCCGGCCTGGGCATGGGTTCCATGTGGTGTTTGCCACCCAGCACCAGAGTCTCAGGATGCCAAGAACCAGCACCCAAGGAAGGCACTAACTCCCCCTCTTCTCAGAGACCTGTGCTGGCCTTCCCCAGCTGTGTCCTGTTGGTTGCCCAGGGGCCTGTGGCCCAGGCACCAAGGCGCATGCGTGAGCAGCTGGCCCTCCGAGTGACCGAGAGGCGGCCCAGGTCTGCCCGGGGGACAGCAACACAGCCTCTCCGAGCTCAGGCCTCCAGCAGCTGGGGCTCAAGCACATGCTAACCTGGTGGGCTTCTAAGACACTCTGCCCTTACTTCTGGCTAAAGCAGGAGAGCAGGTGCTCCCTGACCCCTCAGCGGCACTGTGTGTGTCACAGCTCGCAAGCGCGGCCCCCTCCCGACTACAGCAGCTCCTCGGGGGCCTGCAGCCCTCTGTACAGTGCGTAACCGACGTCATCGATCTCCTCCTCGCAGAGGCCACCCAGGAGGTTGATGCTGGGGTTGAAGTGGCAGGGCAGGCTGGCCCGCTCCAGGCTGGTGATGAGCAGCTCCAGCGCCTGCAGGAAGCGGTCGCCCAGGGCCTCCTCTGCCCAGTCCACCTTCTCCTCCCCCAGGTGCAGGACCACCTGGATCAGGTGGCCACGGCCCAGTCTCCCCAGGGCCGGATGACGGCGGCAGATGGCACACAAGAGCAGCAGCAGCCGCCGCCGGCTGCCACCATCGAGGTCATCCAGCGCGCGCAGCCGGGCGGCCTCTGCCGGGTACAAGTCCTGGAGCCAGAGGTTCCCGGCTAGCCCCTCCAGGGGCCAGGCCAGAAGCAGGCGGTCCTGCACATCGGGACTGGTGACTGCCAGGAGTACCGCCACAGTGAGCTCCAGGTACTCGTGCTGCACCTCGAGCAGCAGCTCTTCCGAGGCCACGCTGGGCAGGATCAGGCACCCGAGGAGGCCCCCGATGGCCGGCCAGTTGACAGAGGCGACCAGGGCCTTGCGAAGCAGCTCCAGCAGGACGCGGGAGGAGAGGTAGCCGCCCACCAGGAAGCGGTCCCAGGGGCTACTCCCCCGCGGGCTGAACTCCAGCTGAGTCCTGCGCACCGCCCAGCAGCGAGGGTCCCGGGCGACAGTGTCCAGGCCAGGCACCAGCTTCCACAGCCCTGGCTCCAGCGCCAGTGGCACCAGCACACGCACGTCATCAGCAGCCCCTGCCTGTAGCCCGTCATAGAGTGGCCCGCTGGGCACGAGCGCCCCGAAAGGTAGCTCCGGGAACTTGCTCTGGAGAAAGGTCTGCAGTTCCAGGGCAATGTCACCAGTCAGCTGCTTGGCCAGAGCCCCGTGGGCCGCAGGGATGTGGGCATGGCCCCTCTCGAACACCAGCAGCTTCTCCTGCAGGGTCAGGCACGGAGGTGCTGGGGAGCTCCTGGGAGCGGCGCGCTGAGGAGCTGCATCTCTGGGCTTCTCTGCAGAGCAGGGGGCAGAACTGTCAGGAGGCAGCCATGAGGAGGCAGGAGAACCCACCTGCTCACTAGCTGTGTGCTGCCCTGTCCCAGTCCCCTCGTCTGTGGAACAGCTCCCTAAGAGTCCAACTCTGCCCTTGTAAGCACGGAGGACAAATTCTGTTCCCGATTCCTGCCCTCTGGGGGAAACAGCTCCATACAGAGAGTGAGTCTGAGCCTCAGTTGCCCCCACCCCCCCCACCTAATACTCTGTGGTGGTCTGGTAACACCCAGCCAATCTCCAAGTCTGCACATCTGGGTAACTTTAGCCTCAACACCAGAAGGAAAAAGGGAGGTGGGGGTTGGGGGGTGAACGTGCTGCCCCTCAACATGCAGTGTCCAGGAGGGGCTGGGCAGAGCTTGGGCTGTCCACAAATGTGTCCACTACAGGGGTCCCTCCCAGGTGTCATAGGTGCCACTCACCTGGGGTTGGGGGCAGGGGTGCTGGGCTTGACCTGGACTGGCTGAGGGCAGCGGGAGGCGACCGGAGCTGCAGGCGTGGTGTGGCCTTGAGCAGGCTCAGCTCCTTCCAGCTCTCCTCAAGGCACGTAGTGTCCCCCTTGGCATCCTCCTCGTCCCTCGGGCTGGTGGCCCTATCGATGAGCTGTGGGCACAGTGTGGGGTCAGAGTGTTAGGAGTCTGGGAGAAGCAGGTGTCAGCAGCCGCGGCTTCCCCGCTCCTGCCCGGAGCCCTGCTCTGGGCCCCTGGGAGCCCCAGGTATCAGTGGCACAGCCTGGCTTACCCGCTTCACGGCTAGGGTGGCGATGCCCAGCACTGCAGCACCACCCACACCCAGCACTAGGCGTGCGTTGGCCAGGAGGAAGTCCACAGCACTGCCCAGCACCTCATCATCGCGCTGCTTTCTTTTCTGGAAGAACTCAGCCATGATCCGCCTGTAAGAGTCAGGGTGCAGAGACCGCTCAGGGTGGGGCGGCCAGGCTGGCCTGGGAGCAGCAGTGGGCAGGTAAGTCAGCTGCATTTTGTTGGGCCCAGGTAGGTGGGGGTGGGGAGGGTCCCGAGAACAACTCAGGGGAAGGGCCCCTCGCAGGGTTTCGTGGGGAGTGGAGAAACTTCTCAAGTCTGCAAATACCCCACCTACCCCTTGGAGAAGGGAGCCCCACAGAAAGCTCCTGAGAGCTACAGTGGGTGAGAAAAGGGCATCATCACCCAGTGCTCCAGGAACCCCGACACCAACCCCATCATGCAGAGACAGACGGCAAGCTACCCCCATTGGTGGGCACCCACGCCCACTTACTAAACCTCCAACTCTCACCCTCCTCCCCCAGCCTTGGTCTTGTCAGTCCCGCAGAGTCGATGGCCAGGTCTAGAGGCCCCTTCATTAATGTCCTGAATGGGACCCTGTAAAGACCACAACCTGCAGCCCAGATGGCCAGCTCAGAGGCGGTGCTACCAAGTCAGGCAAGAGAGCAAGGGAGAGGCCAGAGAGATAGTATAATGGGTAGGATGCTTGCCTTGCACACGGCCATCTGGGGTTCATTTCCAGCACCCCGTGTGGTCCCCTGAGCCACGCCAGGAGTGATCCCTGAGCTCAGAGCCAGGACAACTGCCAGCTGTGGCCCAAAACCAAAAGAAAAAAGAAAAAAAGATGGGCCAGGTGTCTTGGAGTGGAGAGGGTGGGGGTGCGTGTGGGAGAGCTGCCTGAGCCCAGGTGGGTGGGAAAGGCTGAGTGATTAGCTGCAGGGGCAGTGACCACTCACCCGACAGGACCAGGTATCTCTGGGTGTCCCTCCAGTCTGGGCCAGAGGCAGTTGGGGGAGCTGTGCTCAGCTGTCAGGAACCCAAGCCAGGCCTAACACCCCCATTCACTCAACTGTGCTGTGACACAGGGAGGTGCAGAAGGAGGGTTACAAGTGAAGCGCCCCAAATGTGGGCTGGGAAGAATCTAGAAGAGATCTCTCCCGGGCCAGGCGCTTCCAGGGGGATGATTTAGGAGGCCCAGCGATATCAGGCAGTGCTGGCCTGAGCTCCTGCCCACCCCACGCGGCTGTGGGTGACACGGCTCAGCTGCCAGGTGACAGACAACACGCAGCAGCAGCTGAAACCCGAGGCAGCCCGACCTCTCCCCGCCCCCCTCACTCACCCAGTCTAAAAATGACTCTCAGGGCTTGGCGCCGCCGGCTCGGGCACCCGGCGGGTGACCCACCACCACCCGACAGCCCCGTGTCCGTCTCCGCAACGGGGACTGATACAGCCGGCAGGGGCAGAAACACATTTTGAAAACAGCAAAAGCGTTTTATTTTTAGTTAAAGGTTCTTAATTCCCCCTCCTACCCCGCCTCCTCCTGGGGCTAAGCAGCCAAGCCTGGCGGATCTCACGGGCCCAACCCGCAGGCTTCAGGGTAGCGGAGGCCGGCGAGGGCGCTCAAGGCTACACGTAACCGCCTCTGCGCCACCCGGCCCACGACGGCCGCGCTGGGAGCCCGCCCGGCACTGCCCGTCCCGCCCCGAGAACCCCGAGGGCCGGGACCCGAAACGGAGAGGGTCAGGCCAGGGTTCGAACTCCGCGGACACCCGGCACCTCCGCGTGACCGCGGCGGCGGCGGAGGCCACGCCCTTGCCCGGCGGCCCGGTCGGGGACCCGCGTCCCGCCGGGCTCTGCCCTTACCTGCGTCGCGCGCCCAGCGCCAACTACCGCAGCGCCCGGTCGGTTCCCTCGGGGCCCGGAGCCCGGAGCGGCCCGGAACAGAACGCGGAGGGATCCGCACGGCGAGGCGCCGAGGTGGCCGCGGACTCCCAAGCACGTAGAGGAGCAGGCCCGCGCGCCAATCGGAGCGCAGGAGGCCCGGGCGCACGTTCCCAAATAGGGAGCAGCCAGCCAATGGCAGGACGGCCACGCCCCCGGCGGCCTCTGCGTTTCTCTGGGGGTGGGGCTCCATGACGCTCTCCAGGTTTAAAGGCACCGAGCTCCGTTCTGACCCGGTTCTCCCCTGCAGGCTCCTGTATGCAGGGCTCCCAGACCTCACTGAGACGTGCGTGCGTTTGTAACGCGAAGCATATTTCCTGGGCCCACGATCAGTTCGGGCGTTTGGCAGGCAGCAGGAACCAGACGCAAAAGACCTGTAGGTCTGCCTTTTGGTCCACCCTGGGAGAGTTTCTGGTAGCCCACTGGACACTGAATCTTGCTCCTTGCCCTCTGCCCCGTTTGACCTTGTGCGGGTGGTAGTTCACTCGGTGCTCAGTTTTCTCTCTCGTGGAATGAGGACACCACACGCCTCGCTATCCCTGCCAAGGATGCTTTGTGCGTATGACGCCTTTGCCTTTTGTTCATCGGGCGTCTCTTATTTGCTGGCGAAGGGGACCAAACTAATGGTGAGGTGCTGTTTTTTAAGCACCTGTTGTGTGCCGCAAGCTTGCACATGCGGCTGCTCATTTGTTTCTGGCGACAACCTGAAGAGACAGATTCTGAGACGCCAATCTGCCAGGGGCAGGTGTGGGGCTTGCAGAGTTCTAGGATCACAGAACCCTGAGCCCCTTGCGTTCCGGAGTTGAGGGCCAGCTCCAGGGGCTGGGGCACCCTGGCACGCCTTCCACCTGGGGCCAGAGACTCGTCCGCAAGGTCGTGTGCAGCCGCCTACGCGGACAAGAAGGGGCGCCCGGAACCCCGAGCCCGTCCCAGCGGCGGGATAGTCCTGCAGGGGGCGCGGGCCGGCGGCCGGCCGCGGGGCGGGGCGGGCTGGGGGGCGGGGCCCGCGCCGGCCCCGCCCAGGCTTCCCGGCCGGCAGCGACAGCGGCGCCATGGAGGCCACCGGGGTGCTGCCGTTCGTGCGCGGCGTGGACCTCAGCGGGAACGACTTTAAGGTGAGTGGCCGGGCGGCGGGCGGCGCCTGCCCCAGCCAGACTCTGCGGCCGGGCGCGCGGGCTGCGCTTCCTGCCCGGCACGCCGCCCCCGGGCCCGGGCGGGGTGGGGCTGTGCCCGGCCCCGCTCCCCTCCCCGCCCGGCCAGAGCGGGCCCCGCCGCGGACGCCGGGCTCGAGCCGCGGGCTGCGCGCGGGGCTCCGGGCCCGCCTGCTGTCCGGCGAGCGCGGGGAGCCGCGGCGCCCTGCCCGGCCCGGCCCGGCCCGGCCGCCCGGCCGCCCGCCCCGCCTGACTCACGGCGGCGGGGCCGGCCGCCACCCCGCCCCCGTGTGGTCTCGGGCGAGTCACTTCCCCTCCGCGCAGCGCTTTTCTTATCGGGACCCCGGGTTTCAGCACGGGGTGGCCCTTGGGAGGCCGAGCTGCTCGTCGCGGGCAGCGCAGTCAGCCGAGGCCCGCCGCGGCGATTTTCCGCGCAGCCGCTGGGCGGACGCAGGGACTGGACGCGGGGCCCAGCCCGGCTGGGTGAGGTGGCCCCAAGAGAACCAGGAACCAGCGTTCACGCGCGGGACCAGGAAGGGAGCCGGTGCTGGGGAAACACTGCGCTGCCGGGCGAGGGCGGCAGGCCGGGGCTGGGGGCGAGTGGGGGGACGCTCTGGGCTGTGGCCGAGGTCAGTGGTGGAAACCTGCAGGGCGCTGGCCGGCTGTTGGTGCAGATGCGCCGCCCCGCAAAGTCCGCTTGCGACAGCCACACCCCCTTCCTCCCTGCTCCACCATCCTCACCCGGACCTTCTTGGGGCCAGACTGGCCACTGGGGAAGGGGCCATCAGCCGGTGGCCGGAAGGCGAGCGCCGGGAGTGACCGGAGGTGGCTGGAGGTGGAATGATTGAGGCAGTGACCGGGCTGGCCGGGCCGAAGCGTGGCATGGGGGTTGGACTTGACCACAAATGGCCTCTTGGCTGCTTGTCAGCCCGTGGGCCGGGTGAGGGGTCAGAGGATTCTCCCCCCACCACCCCTACCTTGCTGGGGCAGGGCCTTGATGCCAGCACAGGCCCTCTCAGCCGAGCTGACCACACGGTTGCCGGCAGTACCTTGGAACCAGGCAGTGTGTCAGCCCCCTTCAGGGCTGGACTCCAGCAGGAGGGACAGGCCTCCGACCTGCAGTGCCCCCGTTCTACTCCTCACCTTCCCTGGTGGTGAAAGGCTGTCCCCGCCCTGTTTCCTGTGTGAGGAGATGAGGCAGCGACAGAGCTGGTGAGCGGGCTCTCTGTGGCCCCCGAAGCTCCCATCGGCAGTGACAGGGTTTTAGAGCAGGAGATCTCCTCTGCCTAACCATCCCCCACAGGGTGGCTACTTCCCTGAGAATGTCAAGGCCATGACAAGTCTCCGATGGCTGAAGCTGAATCGCACTGGCCTCTGCTACCTGCCAGAGGAGCTGGGTGCCCTCCAGAAGCTGGTAAGGAACTTGGGTGGGCTGGGCCCGGTGGGCAACGCCTGCCTGACACAGGTACTAGAGAGAGGCAGTGACAGCCCTGAGCAGAGCTGACTGGTTGGGAGTGAACACCCCGTCCAGGGAGGTATGCAAGGGGAAGGAGGTCAGGTCTGGGAAGTGAATACCGATGAGGGAACAGCGGGGCCTCCTAGACAGTGCAGAGTCGTGGCATGCCACACCCATCCTGGTCTCTTCTCTCCTGTTTTGGTATAGGAGCACTTGTCTGTGAGCCACAACCACCTGACCACGCTCCACGGTGAGCTGTCCAGCCTGCCGTCTCTGCGGGTGAGTGCTGTGCTGTGGGGCTGAGGAGGGTGCCCAGCAGGGGCCGGGGGGGGGGGGGACCACCAGGGTCCCAGGCTTGGGGGAGGGTTCAAAGCATGGTAAGAGCAGCAGCACCCATTTTGAGCTGTGTAGACTGTTTGTTTGGGGCCACAACCTGGGGTGCTCAGAATTACCTCTGACTCTGTGCTCGGGAGTTCTCCTAGTGTGTTCAGGGAGCCATATGGGATTGGCTGTGTATCAGGCAAGTGCCCTACCCTCTGCACTACCACTCTGGCCCCAGCTGCACCCATGTGGGATGGTAGCAACTGCGGAAATGAATGCACCCCGGTGAACCTGGCCGTCTGCTCCACAGCATCCAGGTGTTCTTTTCCTGACATCCTGATTTCTACCAGGTCACACCTGAGGGTCCTGACCTAAAGCCCAAGCAGTGGCTGAGCTAGGCTGGGGCTGAGCAGACTATTTGTCTTGCTCTTCTGTTCTCCTTAAGCCTCTGACATCCTCTGGTTGGTCCCCATGCTGAGGGCGGGTCCTGCATCACATTCTGTGATGTTAAGGGCACCGGCTCCGTCTGGACTTGCTGGCTGAGTGCACATCTGGGCCCTGCCACTGCCTGGTGGTGTGACCTTGGGCATGTCGCCCCTCTCTGGGTGGGCTCCTGAGTGCCCTCACTGTTGAGGCTAAGCCAGAACAGTGGCGCGGGGACTGGAGGAGAGGCCATGGGCTGGCCCGCCCGTGGCTGCCTCTCCTCCTGCAGCACTCAGGGCTTGAGAGCGGACGTCCTCGTCCATGCTTAGATGCTCTTCGATGCAGCCCACTCCCTCCATCCTAGAAACCCTGACTCAGAGGCAAAACCTGATCTTGCCCTGTTGGAGTTGGCTTTAGGAATTCTTTGATGAAAAAGGTTCCCCGAGGGGCCAGAGAGATGCCTGAGGGGGTGGGACAGCAGGCTGTGTGTGCAGAAACCCTGGCACTGTGGTCCTCCGAGCATTGCTGGAAATGATCCTCGAGTACCAACCCAGGCATAATCCCAAAACCTGTTTGTTTAATTTTGGCCTGGGGGTCATACCTGGCAATGCTCAGGGGTCACTTCTGGCTCTACACTTAGGAACCACACCTGGCACTGCTCCAAGGACTATATGAAATGCCAGGAATGAAACCTGGATTGTTCATGTACATGGCGAGCACCTTACTTAATGTACTATCTCCAGTTCCCATCAGAAACAAGTTTTAAAAGGCAGGGGGTGGGAGTGTTCTCTGAAGACTCTGTGCTGAACTCTGGGCACATTTGAGTGGGCTTTGAGGTACGAATAGTTCATCACCAGCATAGAAATGGCTGCCAGATGCAGGTACTATGAACAAAGGACACGGTGAGAGAATGTTCAGCTGGGCCTCCAATGGCCTCCTTCTGAGGTGTAATTCTTCTCCGATTTGTGCCTCTTCCTGGGAGTAGAAGTTGCAAATCATGGATTTTCCTGGTTTATCCCTAGGCTATTGTTGCCCGAGCCAACAGCCTGAAGAATTCTGGAGTCCCGGATGACATCTTCAAGCTAGATGACCTCTCGGTTCTGGTCAGTGATTACCCATCCACCTGCCCCGTACACCAGCATGTAATTTAGACCCTTTCTATGACACTGCCCATTGGAACTGTTGTTAGCCCATTTCACAGACAGATCATCACATGAGCAGTGTCCCAGGTAGAGTCAGATCCTGACTGGGTTGGGCTTTGAATTTTTTTGGGGGGGGTTCACACCCGGTGATGCACAGGGGCTACTCCTGGCTCATGCACTCAGGAATCACTCCTGGCGGTGCTCGGGGGACCATATGGGGTGCTGGGAATCGAACCTGGGTCGGCCACGTGCAAAGCAACCACCCTTCCCGCTGTGCTATCGCTGCAGCCCCTGGGTTGGGCTTTGAAACCCCCCCATCTGCTCCCTCTGGTCCCAGAGCCTGGCTGAGGCCTGACCCCCTCCCCCGGTTCTTGGCTCTCCTGACTAGGATCTGAGCTACAACCAGCTGACTGAGTGCCCGCGGGAGCTGGAGAACGCCAAGAACATGCTGGTGCTGAACCTCAGTCACAACAGGTGCCTGCTGAGCTGGGGGCTGGGCTCGGGCGGGCCGGGGCGGGTTCTGGCTCCGGGCTCCCAGCTCTGA